AGACGGCTCCCCAGGCCGGCAGAGCACGGCGGGGGGAGTTTTATTTATTGATTATGGTAAGAATGTTCCCAGAAAGCAAAAGCTCACGAATCCCCACACAGTGCTCACATAAGGGTGGTGAGTCAGGCGACAAACCCCACAGCAGCAGCTACAAATAGTCAGCGATGGCGTTGAATTGTTTGCCACCAAGCTGTAGGCTGGACAATGTTTGCACGGGGAGGGAGGATGGTCCAGTGGTTGGTTCAGGCACTGGCACTGGTTAATTTCCTGTCACGGATTTCCTGTGTGCCCAGGGGCAAGTCCCTTAGTCTCGTTCTCTGCCTCGGTTTCCCCATCTGTACAATGGGGATGATAGTACTGCCCCGCCTCCCAGACGTGTGCAGAGATCAAACCAGTTAAAACAGGTTGTAAAGTGCGTTAAGATTGACAGCTGAAAAGCACTAGATGAGAAACAGGCATGGGTTTTATTTTATGATTGATTTACTATTCCATTCCCCCTCCCCCATGCAATGGCTCCGTTATCTATCTAGCCATCACGTTGCCAGGGAGGCACAGTTCCCTTCTCCCCAGCCCATGTTCAATAATGCACAAGTGGGTAGGTGCATCATGGGGGATTTTGCCTTACTTGGAAGTATCAGCTATTGGCCGCGGCTAGTTGCAGGAGGCGATGGGTCAATAGTCTGACCCAGCGTAGCAGCCCCATGCTCCCAATGATCCCTGCATGCTATCCCGCCCCTGGCTGCGCTGGGCACGCAGAGATCTGCTGACAAGTGCCTAGTACATGGGACTGGGGCGGGGGGGGGGTCAGTGCAAGGCTGTGGCGTCCCTGTGGGTGTCTGTGTGACCATGTTTGGTTGGTTGCAAAGTTAAAAACCAATCATCCTTCTATATGAGCCTTCCAGGCTGGCGAGCTGCATTCACTCTTCAATTCTTCATTCTCCTTGTGCATTTCCTCTCTCACCAAGTCATTTCTATGGGGCTTTCATCACCTCCCGGAAGATGCTACATCACTTCTTGACACGACGCCAGGGCAGAAAGCATAGGCGTAATCTCCAGATGGACGCCTCCCTCCGGCTCGGGGTCAACGGTACAATCACAGAGGAGAAAACTGGGAGTGGGTGTGAAATCTCCCTGCCCTTAATGACCCCCCAGCTGTCTCAGAGCCACAGGTCACCCAAGCACTGCCCAGGTAACGGGACCCCGGACGGTGACCACAATCCTGCAGGTAAATTGAATCTCTAAGCTCACCCCTGAACTTGATCCATCAAATCCACACACCCTTCTTGGCTATGTTTTGTTGTTGTTTTTTTATAAAGTTCTACGTCACAGTCCTAAGTAATGGAGCAGAATCGGTGTGTGCACACAACCGGTCATTTCCTACTCACAGGCATGTTCTGGAATCCATCCGAAAGTTTGGTCAATGCCTTGTGAACTTGCCAGAGCCTGAATTCTTAGCAAACTCCCCCGGCAGTCCATGGAATGCAAACCCCATTCCTCTCTCGTCCTCTCTCCCATCTCACTTGCAGCCGTGTCCTTTGCTCTGGGCCTCCACTAATGTAATCTTGCCTCCCTTGAAGCCACTCAGCCCTTGTTGCTGCTGCAAAGATCATTTCCTAGCCCATTGCGTTGGCCACATCACCCCTCTCTTTGAGTCCCACCACTGGCTCCCGGTTCTCTGTCACATCCAACGTAAGCTGCCCGTCTTCACGTTGAAGGGCCTTCACATTCTATCCCCAGCCGACCTCCCGTCTCTCATTCGCTATCAAACTGTCCGCTCCTGCCTCCGATCAGCCCCTGGCTGCAGCCTCCATCACCCACTTGCTACATTTGCAAACAAGCCCCTTTGTGGTTTCTCCCCTGCTCCCCACAAACATCCACAAATCCCTCCTTAAAACCTCCTTTGCCGTGATGTCTCCAAACCCCTTCGCCACAGCTGGTGCGCAGAGACCACTGCCTGTCCTGTTGACCGATATTGTCCCGTCGCTTCCCCGTGCTCCCCCATCGGTCCAGATCTATTTGTTGTCTCTTGTCTTATGCTGAAATTTCAAGCTCTCTGGGACAGGGACCGTCTCTTGTTCTGCCCAGCACTAGGGGGTCCCGGTGCAGGGCTGGGACTCCTCGGTGCGATGGGAATACAAATAATACTAGTCAATCAGCAGTAATCTCCGCTGGAAACTTTGGGATTCTGTCCTTCTTGGTTCCCCCCGGGAGTCAGTCCAAGGATATCTTCAACAAAGACGTGGTCCTTGTCAATTTCAACCACTGACCTTAGCCGGGGGCGAAGGTGCCAGCGAGGAGATGTGTCCGCGCTGGCGCTGAACCAACTACAGAAGCGTAGCCAGGGCAGTGCAAGGAGCGGGAGGGGCTAGCCCCTGAGGCCATCCAAGTTCCTAGCACATGCTCGGGGCGGTCAGCCCCTCCTGCCCCTGTCACTGCCCTGGCTGCATGCTATTTTTAGCGCGCTAGCTCGCTCGGAGCCAGCCTGGGGTAGGTCTCCTCGAGCTGGAATCCACACCTCCCGCGGGAGGGGTCATTAGGAACTGTTGCTGGCTGTTCCTCGGAAGGCCTGGCAGGAAACCTGGGTTTCCGGCACAAGTTCACAAGGCTAGACAGCTGAAAGGCATCAGAGTGGAGGAGGTGATGTCGTGCTAATGAAACCCACAGACCACAGCCGCTTTCTCTAATCAGGCCAGGACTAAATGTCCCTTGTCAAGAAAGTACAGCCAAGTCATTCAGGAGCCAACCCCACCAGGAGCGGAGCATCCTCAGCGCCGTTCCCATTGACTTCTAGCATCAAGAGGTGTTCAGCACCTTCCTGGATTGGGCCCTTGGTGAACCAATCAGGCCACCATGTAAAACGCCACCAAAGTTCCTGACTTTGCTCTGCTGTTATCTTGGACCCAAGCCCTTTCTCTAGATCCTCCCATCCAGGCTATGTCTAAATCTTACCAATTAGTCCTGCCTACCACCTCTAAGCTCCAGCCTTTCCTCTCCCTCCACACGGCTAAAACGGTCACCCACGCCCTCATCGTCTTGTGTCTGGAATGTCTGCTCCAGAGACCCGATCTCGCCACCACCACGAGAATCGGGGAACTTATGAGCACCACTGTCTATAGGCCACCACGTTGTGCCCGGCCCACGCTGGCTCCACCAAATCGCAGCAACCCTCCCATATGGGTTGGCGACGTCGATAGCCGCCAGACATCCTAGGGTTATGACAACGGCTGCATGGAAACGGAGGTTTGCTGAATACCTACAAACGTAACCAACTACAAGGGGCATCAGCCTCCTTAAAGTGGCCATGAAAAGGAACATCCCCCGTGACTGCAGGAAAGCCAGCGCCCCCTGCTGGTTGGCATACAGGGAGACACTGCTAAAGGAGTAACATCAGGTAACCCTGCTGCTACAACCGCACACCTGGAATCACTGAACTCCGATGGATACAAGCTATGCAGGGCCTAGATTTCACCCACTCAAGCAGGAAGGCCTGGAGGCTGCTCCGTAATCTGGGCGATGCTCACCCTTCCCAAAGCAGAGTGCCACATGTCCCAGCCACCGCTACCACCACTCAAACCTTCCAGCATTAACAAGGGTCAAGCAGGTCGTCGTCACAAAAGGAAAGTGAAGAAAAAACGGTATCACTCCCTGTCCGACCTCCCAGCAACATCGAACCCATCGAAGCCGTTCACTAGAGAAGATGCAGACAAGGCCAAAGGGTTGCACCAACCTTGGCCAGACTACAGGTGCGGCTGGCACCTTCCCAAAACTTCTGGCAAACCTAGCTCAGCTTATTGGCTGACCCGCTTCCTTACCAGTGTGCCTGCCTTTGGCCAAATGCCCAAGATATGGGGCAACAGGCAAAAATCCCCACTGTCCTGAAACGAGGGAAAGCAGCCAAGAATCAGAAAGACTGCCGGCTGATATCGTTACTGTGTGAAAAGTATACACCCTTGGGAAGGATGCTGCTCCAGAGACTCACCTCCACCTCTGAGGACTACATCCCGAAAGAACAAGTTGGATTTGAACTGGGGCAATGCACCTGTGATCAGGTAATCAGACCGATGATCTACATTGGAGCCGGCTACTAATCCAGGCTTAAAACAGCAGCTGCCTTTGTGGACCTGTCCTCAGAATAAGACATGGTTTGGCAAGATGGCCTGCTTTTGAAAATGTCAAAAATAGCATGTTGCAGACTGCCACCAGCTGTAAGTTTTGCAGACGTATAATGGAACAGACCAACGGACGTTCATCTATTGAACAATAGGCTTCCACAGGGATCTGTCTTGGTACCATCACTCTTCAATATCTGTATCAGCGACATGTGATCAACCCAGTCACGATCCTTGGTAAGTTGTTCCAATGGTTATTCACTCTCACTGTTAAAAATGCATGCCTTATTTCCGGTCTGAATTTGTCCAGCTTCAACTTCCAGCCATTGGCTCGTGTTAGACCTTTCTCTGCTAGATTGAAGAGCCCATTGTTAAATATTTGTTCCCCACGTAGATACTTGTAGACGGTGATCAAGTCACCCTGTAACCTTCTCTGTGTTAAACCAAATAGATTGAGCTCCTTGGATGGATGGAAAGAGGTGCATGGGGATGAAGG